CTTTGCATCCCCAGGACTCTGAACTCTGCTGACATGAACTTACTGTTTTAACCGAGTTTGTCTCAACCCAAGGCTGCCTTTTGGGAGCGTGCTGCGTGGTCCAGAGCAACGCCTTGACCCGCCTTGCTTTGAGCCTGCACCCTGGCTGAGCAAGGCTGAGGTGGTTTGACAGCTCCTCCCTTTGGCCATCACCTTGTTGCTGCTGTGTGCTGCAGCTTCCTTCGAGCTTTCCAGCCCCCTTTCAGTGAAGGATTTCCAGGTCAGGAACCTTTGCAGCCTGCTGCAGCGGGGTTGGCCAAGACACAATTAAAATGTTCTGCATCTCTTACAATGCAAGATCTCCAGGGCATGGATTTTTTGGAAGGCTGAGACCAGGTCTATAAAAACCAAGATTTAATGTCCCTTTATCTTTCCCACAGAGGAACTTGTTCTTTTAACTGGCTCAATATCAATACCCCCAGTGTGTAGAAAGTGGCCCAATTTCTTTGTCTCCTGACATCTTGAACCCAGAAGCAGATGGACGTTAACCAGCTCTGATTAGTTGGGAGAATCAAGCATTAATTTTTTATACGCCAGGCCCACCTGAGTGACGGAAATCAATTACGGCTGCCCCTCCCCCTTCCATATTAATGTGGTGGCTCTGAGCAGAGATGGAGGAACCTGTTGAAATGAGAAACCCCTATTTCTTAGTTTGACCCCCTAGATAATTAGGGTTAAATTGATACGCTATCGCACTGGTGACACATTTTATCTGCCTCTGTTTGTACAAGAGGATACAATGGTGGAGGAAGGACCAATTTGTGCCCTGCTCTAGCTAACCAGACCGAGATAAAAGGTGTCACTAGTATGATAACGTTCTTGCCTCGTGCTCCTTTATTGTTGCTCAATTTGCCTTTTTTTTTTTTTTTCTTTTAATCCTGTTCTTTTTCTTTCAATACCCTTGGTCATATTTTAGCTCCATGCCATCGCATAATGACGCCCTGCTAAATGTGTGTGGAGATAGGCAACTCTGGCTGACAGCCTTCCCTGATAACCGAATTCCAGCCCATCCATCACTAGGCTGCTCTCCTTAACTTAAGGAAAGTGATAACTAAAGCAAGGCCGTTTATCACCGCCGAGCTGTACGGTTCTTGCTGCCTTGGAGAGAGCTGGCTTCAACAGGAAAAAGGCAGCCATATCACCTCACCTCCTATTTGTATCCCTTTTATCTCCAGGCCCCTTTTACCCTGCTGAGTGGAAGAGCAGGGCTGAATGGAAATCTGAGCCTGGGGTGACGAAAGCTCTCTGAAAACGGTGCGGAGCTGCCCCTGCTGACCACAGTCCGAGGAAGACTTGGACTTGCTTGGCTGATGAAGGAGAATGTGCTACCTGGTGTTTTTGCACCCAAAGGGGACCTGCATTTTGGGAGCAGGTGGAGTTTTTGCACTCCCATCTCTGCTGCTGGGAGGGCAGACTTGACCAGAGCTGCATCAGACGCTTGAAAATCCCACAGCCGTTTTTAACTTTCTCTCTATCAAGTGCGGTCATACCTGAAGCCACAGCACTTGGCTGACAGGGTGGGTTTGAGAGCCAGCTTCCTTCTCAAGGGGTGAGGGCTTCGGTAGTCAGGGAGATAGAGAGACCTTGTTCAAAAGCTGGAGGGATCGTGGGACGTTGAGTGCAGTGAAATGTGTGAACATTTCTCTTCTCCCTTACCTGAGGGAGGGCCAAATCCTGAGCCCTTGGCTCAAGGAAAGCTGCCCCCATGAGCCAGGTTGCCTCTTGCAAGAGCAAGAAGTGGTGCTGAGCGTAAGAGCATGTTTACAAATGAGCCACTTGAGAATGGTGGTCCTGATAAATGGAGATACTTCCTTACAGGCCCCCAGGAGAGCCACAGATGTGCCTTGTTCACACCTCCCTGGAGAAGATGCTTGAGAAACTCCTGCCTGGTTAGCAGGCTGAGAACTGGGGAGATCACTGCATGTGATGGGCTTGGAGCTGAGAAAAAAACACTGCAGGGGTGTTTTCCTTTCCGTAGCTACTTGAGGGACCTGGTTTTCTGTGGAGTGAGAGCCCCTGGTTCCCTGTGGTGGGAGCACTGCATATCCAGGCTAGACCAGACCCGTACAGCGATCCTTGGTGGAAGGCAAGCGCGTTGGGTGGCTCTGTCCCTGCTGGCCTGGAGCCACCAGACCTGCACCTTCCAGCTCGGGGCATAGGCTGATGCTTTGGTCTGTGCTGCTGGCAGCCCACCCAGGTTATAGCGTGAGCACAGGTCATCTAGTGCTTGAAACACTTGGTGAAGTCTCTCAGGTGCTACCTTGAAATGAGGGGAGCACAAGCACGGAGGGGGAGGGGGAATGTCCTTAGGTCACACAGCTTCACAGGAGGTTTCTGGCGTTGTTACTTGTTTGCAAAAATGCGTCATTTATTTAGTTGACATATTTATTTGGAGCATTTATTTTCTCCAATTAAAGACCCACTGTCCAGAGCCCAGGGCATACTGCCATCAGTCTCAGGGTGGAAGTGGAACCAGACTGTCCGGTTTGCTGGGCCTTTAGGTCCCACAGGGATGAAAATGCTCGAGATGTCATTCATTGCACTGCCTGGTTAGCTGTCAATTCCTGTGGCTAACAAGAACAATGCTCTAGTGGCTTCTTCAGAGCCCTATCCAGATGTTAGGAGAAAAGCTGGAGCTAAGCTGAGACCTGTATTAAGGAAAACGTCTTGGGCTGGGAGAAGAAACTCAGCTTTTAGTAACATACCTTTTGCTCACTGCTCTCTTCGTCCTCTCTAGCTAAATATGAGCAGTCTAAGAGACATTGAGCTGATCACGTGTCTGTATTTAGACCGATCATTTGTTTTAGATGGTTCTTTTTCTTGTGATCTTTTTGGATTTGAGCACCAGTTGAAAGCAACTTTCCTTGGAAAAGAGCCTTCTTAGCACGCTGACTGGGGCTGGGAGGGTCTCTTCAACGACGGGATGTCGTGGACATGTGTGTGATGACTGTAAAATGCGTGGACCAGGTTGCTGTTTGTGTGACGGCTCTGCAGTTGTGAGGAGTGACTCCAGGTGGGTTATTTCAGTGTGATGGTGCTAGCATCAGGTGAGCCATGCCCAGAGATGAGACCGTGCTGTCAAGTCACAGCACTTACCCTGCAAATCGCTGTGGCCCTGCTGCCTGCCAGCTTGTTCTTTTGTGAGGCTTTCCTACTTTCAAAGAGATTTCTCTGGACCTCCTTAGTCAAATGTTGTTTGTATGACTTAAATTATTGTTCCTACACAATAACACCTGCATCTTTTCAGGACCAGGTGTTTGATTTTGTCACAAGGAGTCTATTCTTTTCTTAGCCTAAGCAGGGCTCACAAAGTCGGCACACTGGTGTGGCCCAGTGTACACTGGCTCTGTTGGCCACCTGTTCCTGGGAGATTCCTCTGGATATGTTTGCCAGCTTCCTTTCTTTTCTTCCCATAAAAATGGAGGCAGTACCAAAACCAAACCACTCTGGTACTGCACTGCCCTGAGTCTCGCATTATCTGCAAGTGTGTTGCCTGTGCCCCTCCTTCATCTCCTTACTTGGGAAACTGCTTGTAGGTCTGAAGAGATGCTTCCACGTTCCCCAAAGGGTTGGGAGCTGGGCCAAGGACTCAGGTTCTGCATGACGTGCTATGGGTGCACCCCGGCTCAGGGTAGGGTATCTAGCTTGTATCCACATCTGACCACAGCGCGTTCCTGAGTTTCAGCCTTGAGTCTGAAGTCCAGTTTGGGTGACATGCTCTTTCCTCTGTGGAGAGTGGGAGAAGACTTTATCCTGGACATGATCTGTGCTGGGATGTTTGAGCAGCCGATGCTGGCGCTTGCAGCTCTTCTTTCCTCCCCTTCAACCTCCCCTGACAGCCCCCAAGTGCCTGAGGAAGTTGAGATTCCCCACCCCCTCTCTGTTTGGAAAAGCCGATTTCTGGGGTTGTGGCTTTTAACATGCACAAACGACTCTAATTTAGTCATTTATTTAGTTGACATATTTATTTGGGATGTTCCTTTGCTTCAGTTAAAGATCCTGTGACCAGTGCCCCAGGCGTGCTCAGCAGTACGTGAATGAACAAGATCCATCAATTAGTCTTGATCAGATCAAACCGGCCGGGGAAAACTCACATAACTCATCTCCCTGCACAGGCTCGGCTGGAGCCGCATGGCTTGGCCACTCAACCTTCCCTAGCGAGGGGCACGTCGCAGCTCCCCTGCAAACACAGTGTGGGAGAAACAGGTTTCCAAATCCTAGTGTCCTGCTGCCCCTTCAGGCAATCCGTCTCCCTTACCAGTGCTGGTGTGTGAGCTCAATTCGAGCAGCTCGCTGTAGGAAGGGAGAGGTTCAGCGCGTGTGCTTGCGGCTCTGCCTGCTGGTGCTCAAACCCGTGGTGAGACAGTGTGCAGCACCTTGCTCTTCAGAGTTGTGATTGCTCTCTTCTTCCAAACACCTGCATGGAAATCAATCTCTGCTTTCTTAACCCTTAAAACCTTGTCCTGCAGCATTACTACCCGAAAAATAAATGCAATGGTGCCTCCTTCATGTCTCATTTGGTGTTTTAACCATAAAGGCCAAACGGAAAAGCACCGGGGTATGACAGGTGAGTTGTCAGTCCTTCTGTCTGCCCTGTAAGCTGCTGGATGAGCCAGATGGTTTTGCAGGGATTTGGGATGAGTTTGCTCAGCTAAGGACAGCCAGGATGCTCCAGTCATGTCTGTGTGTTAGCTACTATAAGCTGCACTTGCACGCAGCTCCAGACATTCATTCTGAAAGATGTCAGCAGCCTGGATGTGGCTGGATGCATGTAAATCTTCAACCAAGCTAGGCTCTCGTGAGACTTTTTTTGGCCAAGAGCTACAGCCCTTCTGATGTGCAGCATGTTATAGCAGACTGGAAGGTGTTTTCCATCTCGGAACGAGATGCGCTTAAGAAAACAGAGTTTGTGTTGTCAGGACACCGACCTTATCAAACCTGATCTCTCTTCTCTCTTACAGGTTACCAGGACAATGCCAGTACTTAGGGCTGCCGGTTGCTGATTACTTCAAACAGTGGATTAATCTGAAAAAGGTACTTTTGTGCAAACTGCTATTGTGTCCCCCCCATCTCCCTCTCTCCCCCCTCTCCATGTCCTTCTCCTTTCCTCTTTAAGAAGGTGTCTAATAACTACTGCTGTTTTGCATTGAAATGAGTTATTTTCTGAGAAGCTGGGCTGAGCGAGTCCTCCAACTCCCTATTGTATCTCTTCTAATAGAGTCTTACTGTACTTGATGGGATGTGTTCTGCAGCTGGGGAGAATCCCATTGTGGCAGGCACAGTGCGGTGTCTCCGCATAATAGTGGGACACTGTGAGGCCCTTCTTCAGCGAAGGTTGTCTTGGCCCTAGTGTTGCTGACTCTGTTTTGTTTTGCAGCTGTGTAAGGCTCCTAGGAGCACAGTTCCCTGCAGATCAAATTGTGGTTGATAAACGTGGAAATACTCCAGCATAAAAAAAAAATCAACGTTTCCCTTTGTGGTGTGGGGAATGGGAGATGTCTCAGCAGTGCATCCACCTGAGAGACCTGTGGTCACTTTTCAAAGCAAGATACCTTGGACTTTGCTGTCTGACACCTTGTGTTGCTCCACGCCTTCTCTGGTTGAAGAGCAGCGTGCTGTGCATCCACAGGGTCTCCTGGCACAGCTGCTTTGCTTGCACAAAAAAAATGTGGTGAATGCCATAAGCCACAAATCAAAGGGGGAAGAAAAGAACAGATGTGATTTAGAGCAGTAGCAAGGTGACGGGGGAAGCTGGGGTCTGTGCCCAGCTGAAACTGAGGTGGCCCTCATTGTAAAACATTTGAATGTGTAAGATTCCCTTCCCCCATCCAATTTAATGTTTTATTTGGGTTTCTCTGCATTTTCCTGATAATTGGGGGTCTCGGTAAGCAGAATTTGCTTATAAACAGCTCGTTGTACTTGTGGGCTTTTCTTTTGTTCTTTTATTTATTTATTGTTTTAAGTGGAGGCGTGAGTGACAGGCTGAGTAGCCGCAGAAGGACAATTTGCATGATCTGTTCCGTCAAATAGGGTAGAACATGAACTTAACAAGGGATGCTGGCAGCACATTCCTGGCTGAACTTGTCAAAGGGTCTTGTATTTCCCTGCTGTCAGAGCAAATCTTTTGGCTGATTGCTGGTCCTTGGTAAATGAAATCTGAAAGCACATTGGGGCATTCTGCAGTTCAGTGACCATTAATGATCGCCATTTGAAGTTCACTAAACTTCCGGTGAATGGATAGCAGCTATATAACCAGCAGGTTGATGGCTGCAGAATAATAACTTTTTTTTTTTTTCAAAGAACCAAATCCTTGTGTTCCATGATGTTTGCTAAGAAATAGGTTGATCCAGCCATGCTCCTCCTCTGCGCCTCAGGAGGAATGACTGACGGCTCTTTCAAGGCTCCTGGATTTGGCATGTTAGGGATTCATCATGGCATGGACATCGAGGCAAGTTCTTCATGAGAGGCGTTCATGTATTTGGCTTCAGCAAATGCTGTGATACTAAGCTGAGGTCTGGTGAGCATCCGTGAAGTACCGAGCACAGGGCTAAAAGCAGGCGGAGGAAGAAAGTGCTTCCCTGCCAGCTCCCTGGCACAGGGGTCACAGACTGAGTGTGTGGGATGGGGGCATGTGGGTTGGAGCCTGTGTCTTCTTGTCCCTGAATACTCAGAAAGTGAGGTTCCAATCTCCTTCGGATCATGCAGAGAGAGGATGTGTGTGAGCAGTGTTCATATTCCTTCAACCCCACTAATCACTAAAAAAATCCGATTTCTTTTATTTTGTTACCCTTTAATACCTGATGCCTTATGGCACAGGGTCGTTCCAGGGTCCCTACGTGACCCTGGTTGAAGAGGAGAGCAGGGAACTCTCCTGTCCTGTGGCTAAAGAGCTACTTCCCTGGGGGCTTGCTCTTACCTCTGGATGAGGATCTTTTCCATGCCACTCGCTGCCCGACTTTTTGGGGATGCTTGTAGGGGAACTGCCTGTGTGCTTTCATGAGAGAGGATTTCCAGCCTAGATAAATAATTCTGGCCAAGCAGCAGGACCCGGTGTCTCAGTCTTTTCTGAGTGAGCTCCCAGTGTCAGACAGCTCAAGCTGGACAAGTATCTAGCGTCGCTGCTCTTCCCTGCAGAGCTCAGGTGGCCCCTTTTTCCCTTCCCCTGGGCACGTTCCTGACTTAGAATTACCTCCTAGGCTGAGCCTGACCTAATCCATGAAGTGAAGGTGTTAGGGAGGGGTTGATGTGAAACTGCTAATTTCTAGGACGTGGATAATGCAGAGACTTGGAAGTTGCAGGTGTCAAGAGAACGGCTCATGTGAGTGTAAATAGTCTCTGTGGCTGAGAGCGTTTGCTGCAGGCTGTCCCCACCTCGCTCTCTGTCCTGTGGGTGTCTGCTGGTGAGCAGTGGTGCCAAGAGGACCCTTCGGAGTTAGGGAGCTGCTACTGCAAGTACAAGCAATGCAAAAGAGTGGGATTACGTATGGGAAGATGTGTGCAAGGGGCAGTTGTGTTTATATATAGCGTGGCAGCAACAAAATATATTCCAGATTCCCTCCACTTGTGCACGTGAGGCTTCAATTCCTCTTTGTCTCCGTTTTGTATCCTCTGAAGAAAAAGTCTTTGCCTGCACTGTCTCTGCTCAAGTGCAGGATGCTCCACAGCTTAGCGGTCCCTTCTCTCAAGGGAGGGTGAGGCAGTCTTTCCCGGTGTTCATTCTTCAATAAACTGCTTCCCTTGTCACTTCTCTGCTGCGGGAGCAGTTGAGGTGAGCACCTTGTGCCTTCAGGCCTCTTTCAGAGGATCCAAGATTACTGAAAGTGAGAATTCACCCCTGCTAGCTGCTGCGCTTGTTGCCTTAGGAAACCATTTTTGGATGGGTCTGGTGAGCTCTGCACCTGACTGCTGCCGTGGTGGCCACAGTGTCTTGGCATCTGTGAAACAGCCTTCTGTGGAGGACAAAAGGAGAAAAGCTGCCCGTGCACTTGACTGCACTTGCTGAAGTTTTACCTTGCCCTGTGCCCCTCCCCAGCCTGCTAATGCATCCCTTCTGTCAGGCCTGATCGGTGTTTGCTGACATTTTTAATGTCACTGAGCGATCTTGTATCTCTGGTGAACTGTCAGCGTAGAGCTGACTCGGGGCAGAGAGTTTATCATGTTCTTCACTTCGATTAGCTCAGCCTTGTGGGAGGGCAGCGGAAAGCAGAGGAGGCTTTCTTTGAATGCTGCAACATTTCAGATATCCCCCTAAACCATCTCGATGGAGAGCCACGATCCCATCTGCCAGTTTTCCTTACGTGCCTGTCATGTCGATCCAGAGAGGCCCCGTGGGTTAGGACTGAGGTGCAGAACCTGAGCTCCATCCTTGGAGCTGGATGCTCAGGATGTAAATAGCAGAGATTTGCTTCATAGCAAGAGCGAGGGGCTTCAGTGGAGAAAGCAGCAAGCAGGAGGCTGTGGGTCAAGATTTATGCGAAAAGGAAAGAAAGCTGCTGCTAACAAGCTAAAACCAAGCTGCTGCCCCAAGAGTATCCTCAGGTAGCCTGGATAAATTCATTAGTGCGTGTTCTAAGACAAGGATCAGCTCTCATTTGTGCTCCCTCTGCTCTTTCAGGAGCCTCTGTGGTTTATTGTTCCAGGTCCTGCTTGTGTTAGCGGCGTGGTCAGTCCCGCGATGGAGCCTCACCCTGCGAGGATGGAGCCGGCGCTGTGTTAGGCTGAGGACCTGGTGCTCGTGATCACAGGGTGTCTGAGAGCTTGGGAGTGGAAAACCTGTCAGGCAGCAGGAGTGCTGTCACCACTGAGTTTTGGAGCGTGCCACGGAGGGGAAAATGGTTTGTGGAAGAAGGGCGGTGAAGCTAGATTTTCTTACAATTAGTTTGTGCGAGAAAAACATCATAAGGATGGTAGCGCTGTCGAAATGGCCAGGTCAAAGGTCTAGCCCAGATGCTCTCCTTGCCAGAGGCCAGTTGCTGGTGTTTGCAGGTGTAACAAGGAGAGTGGTTCAAGTGAGCTTTCTCTGGTTTCCACTGATTGTCTTTTCAACGTCTGTGAGCTGGCAGCTGCTGCTGGACCACCTTTGGTGTCTAGCACCCGCTGTTTTTATCTCGTCCGTCTACCAGGAACTTGTACATCCGGTTCTGAATCTGCTCATGCTTTCGGTTTCTACAGCATCCTGAAGTGCAAGGAGTTGTGCTATTTAATTATGCATTAATTATGCTCTGTTTATTCATAAGTTGTGTGAAGATGCAAGTCGTTTTGTTTCTTTTAAACCCACTGTCAGATCATTTTCTCGGACCTAGGTCTTGCATTGTGTGAAAGAAAATAAGTGTTTCCAGTTCTTTTCCCTTGTGTTATTCTTGACTTGAGAGCTCTGCTTGTTTTTAACACTGAATCCACTGTCTTGATCTTCCATTTCTTCACTGGATGTTACACAGTTAAAAGATAACAGAGGAGCTTTTTGTGTAGCCACTACAGTTATGGTTTATTCCTTATTTTTCAAGTTATCTTTTCTTTATTTATTTAAAGAAAATCTTCCTACCCATCACAGAGCTGCCCCTTTCTCCGAACAGCTGTCCTGGCATGTTTGGCCAGCTTTGATTTGTGTTTGCAGAGGGTGGCCTGTCTTCAGATACGGTAATAGTGGTTACTTTAGAAGTCACAGAAAACTGATCCTAATTTGACGACCTTCTGAAGTCCAGGAGAGTTTTTATGAAAGACAAGTGCCAATGTGTGTGGATGAATGCAGCTTTCCTTCTCAGGGCATCATGCAACGGAGGTTATGGAACGTTGGGGAGCACAGCGTGACCGTGCCGGGGGTGCCATCACTGTCTGCAGGGTTGGCCTTTTTCAAGCCCAGCCTTTATTGATCTGTGATTACCAGTAGTTGAAAACAAACTTAATAGACATGCAAAAATGTAATAAGGTCACCTCCTCACATTGTGAAATCTGGAGGAAGCATGTAATAGGATGTTTTTGTTAGTATTTGGCAACTGGAAATAAACACATCCTAAACAAACAAAGATTTGCTAACA